AATTTATTTTTATTAGGTTAAAATGTATAATTAGATTTTATATTTTTATATTTGTATTTATATTTTTATTGTAAGAAAATATTTTTAAAACAATGTTACAAAATGTTGAGTATAATTAGATGTTGTTGTATAATATGAAGTAATGTGAAGTAATATTGAAGTAATATTTTTATTTATGTTAGGTTAAAACAATGTGAAAAAATTATATTATTTTGCATATATTAAAATCACATATTTAATTAAAATGATATATAATGATAGTACAAATGTGCAGTATGAAATATTTTCGTTACTATCGTAATTGGATGTACGATAGAATGTTACCAGGTAGACGTGGACTTACACCAAATTTTGAGGAAGCAGTTAAAGGGTTTATCATGTGGGCATTTGCTCAAGAATGTTGTCGACGTGAAGGAGGAGTAAGATGTACTTGTCTTAAATGTGAATGTAGACCTATAATTAGTGACCTAGAGGAAGTGGAACGTCATTTGAAGAGGAAGGGTTTCATTAAAAATTATTGGGTTTGGACATATAATGGAGAACAACTGTCGAGTAACGTACATGCAGGGACAACTAATACACACGCATCAAGCAGTCGATCACATATGGAATTTGAGGAACAATTTAATCTGATCAATGATATGGTTGGCAATGCCTTTAGAGTAAATGTGACATATGATAAACCTCAAGATTTTGATGGGGAAGAGTTGTCGAATGAGGAAGCACAAAGATTTTATCAATTGTTGAAAGAAATGAATACATCGTTGTTTGAGGGGTCGATAAATTCAAAATTATCAATGTGTGTGAGATTATTGGCCGCAAAGTCAAATTGGAATGTTCCTGATCAGTGCTTGGAGTACCCTGCAAAAATGATGTTGGATGCGACTCCTAGAAAGACAACTTGCCTACAAGTTATTATGATGCAAAGAGGTTGGTGTTGAAGTTGGACTTAGAAGTACGAAAGATTGATTGTTGCATAAATGAATGCATGTTATTTTATGACAATGAGTTTGGTATTAATGATGAGGCGCTTGAGGAATGTAAGTTCTGTAAGAGTCTGAGATATCAAGTTCGTAGTAAAGTCATTAACCGTAAATAAAGCTAAAGTTGAAGGATCAATATGTCCATATTACTTGCATCGGGAAACATCACATTTTTGCAGTCATTATTTCAATCATTTGATGTTAACTCCAAGAATCATAAGGAATGAATTTGATGTTAACAAAAGAAGTTAGTTTACCTTGTCAGTCTTCGGTCTTTCCGGTCGTCCCTTTGGAAAGGAGAATGTGCATTGGCTAATCCAAAAATAATTGCAATCTGCACACGTTCATGTCCTAATTAACTGCGTTGAAGTTAGGTCATATCTTGAGTAAGTATACCCTTAACTACCTATCTAGTTTTACAAATTGAATTATTACATTCTAACTAATAGTATGTTTCTTTATAGAGCATTTAACGCCTCCTATTTTCAAAGCATCGGTGAACAAGCAACTACCGGTCACATACATGCATCTTTTTCAACATGGTTCAAGGATCAATTGTCATGCATTGTTGCACCGACTCAAGAAATACTTCATTTGAGAAACTTATCTAGAGGCCCTGTTCAAAGAGCAATTGAATGACACACATACTTTGTGAACGGCTATAAATTTCACACTCAGGCTTGGACAGAAGGGGAAAAAAACCATAAATAACAGTGTATTTGTTAAAGGAGTTACAGATGGTGGTGAAGACGACTTCTATGGCGTTGTTACACATATTTACGAGTTGGCATACAGTTACTTGGACTCAGAAAATAGAGTTGTCTTGTTTTATTGTGATTGGTATTATCCATCTGCCAGGGGCACAAAAATAGATAAGAAGTATAACACTGTTGATATTCGAATGGACAGAAGGTACAAAGAGTATGACCCTTTCGTAATGTCACATATCGTTAAACAAGTTTATTATGTTCCGTACCCTTCAATTCAGTCACGTAAACATGGATGGTGTGTTGTCATCAAAATAAAATCATTGGGTCATATTGAAACTGACGATCTAGTGGAAGATGCTGCTTACCAAGACGATGGAATTTCTCAAATTAATGATGTGGTTGAAGTTGAAGAAATTACAAATTTGTGTGATACATTGGCCGAGGGTCATCAAATTGATGCATCTGTGTTGTTGGTAGATAATAATGTGCATGAAGAGTTTGGATCTGAGGACATTATTGGATCAAATGATAAAAATAATATGGATGAAGAGCATGGAGAGTTTGAATAAATAGTTTTTATATGTGTTTGAATAATTTTTATTAATGTATTATTTGTTTTATATGAATGCAAATGATTTTTACGTAGTGCGTGTATATATTGTATTGATAATAATGTTGATTTATTTATTGATAACTCGTTCAAAATAGATAGAATGCCACCCCGAATTGACAAGGGTAAGGGTAAGGAGAACCATCCCCGTTTGAGAGCTAGAGTACGTGAGGTACCTCCCTCGCCTATGTATGCTTCTCGCCCACAGACTCAGGCAGATCTAATGTCTGCAGACACTTCACAGCCATTTACGACATTACTCTCCTCCTCCCAAACGGTTCCATCTGGGAATCCATCTTTTATTCGTCTGTTTGGGGGATCCTTCATGCATCCTCTTGGGGGATCTAATTTTCCTCAGGTACTGTCTTCGTTCACGCAACAGCCTGGGGGATCTAGTTTTCTTCCTCAGCATTATTCCTTCACACAGTAGCTTGGGGGATCTAGTTTTCCTCAGCAGACTTCCTTCGCACAACCTAGGGGATCTGGTTTTCCTCAGGAGTATTCCTTCACGCCGCAGCCTGTAGAATCTAGTTATCCTCAATAGACTCCCTCCGCGCACTAGCCAGGGGGATCTGGTTCCCGCATTCCACACCCCACACATATACCTGCGCGTCAGGAGCAGGATGACCACCCTATTCAGAAGGATGACGATGTTCATGAGGAACAATCAAATCCTGGTGCAGGGGAAATTTTGGTGGTTGAAGGACGACATCTTATTAGGCCCGAGGGATCTGGGTAAGTTTTTAATTTATAATATTTATTTAACTTTATATTGCCCTTTTATGTTTAATACTTATTCAAATTATTATTGTTTAGTTTTGATCTGTGTCGGCCTACTGCAAAAGCTGTAAACTAGGTCATTCAACTGATGTATACAAAACTCATTAAGTCTTTCGGAGAGCTCCCAGATACTGAGAAAGATATATGGTTTGATAAATTCAAGGTAAATTGTATTTTTCTTATAGTTATGTTATTTTATAATTATTTTTTGTTATATAAATATCATTTTATTTGATTGTCATATAACTTGCAGGAAAGGTGTACTTGGCAAAATTCTGACGAGGTCAAAATTACAAAAAATATTTAGAAGTAAGGTATCTGGCAGATTATCTGACATGCTCAGGAATGCTAGACAACGTTGGGAAAGGGATCAAACTCGTCATAACTGGATAGACGAGGAAATATTTGGGAAACTTATTGAGTGGTGGAAGATAGAAGATTTTCAGAGAAGATCTGAACATGCAAAAAAGATGAGGGCATCTGAAGCAGGTGGCTGCCTTAGTACACTTGGAAATATCAGTATCGTCGAACATCGTCGACAAATGGTAATTATAACTATTTTTTAAAGTTCTATTTTGTATTATTATATAACTTAATTATTTTAATTAGAAAAAAGATTTGGAGAGGGAGCCACGAATTAATGAGCTATTTATGAAGACCCAAACCAAAAAATCGGGGGAGTTTGTTGACGGCCGTTCCAAATCAACCTTGGTAACTTGTTTATAGTTGAATTATTTTGTTTTATTATTATTGTATATAATTAAATTGTTTAAACTATATTTATTTTAATTTAATTTTTTTTATGTGTGTATAGGAGTTGTACCAGACCTTGCATCCCAATTTCTAAATGAAAATCCTCAATATATGCTGATTGGGAATGCACCGCTTGATCCACGCGTGAATCTTTATATTTGGAATTTAACAGTAGGCGGGAAGGAAGTCAATGTGTTTTTTTTTTGTCTTGGATCTTTGACTGACGATTATAGAAAAGGAGACCGAACTTTATTTCAAAGACTTGATGATGGGGAAGGAGGATATCGTCAGACAAAATTGACACCAAAAATGTTGACAACAGTGAGAGAGTTAGCTCTATCTAGAGAAGCGGCAATCCGACATAGAGGCACAAATACGACATTTTTTGCCTCACAATTGAATTATTCTGTCCAAGATGATGAAGAAGATAGATGTTATATTTAGTAGTGATGATGAATAACTTTTTTTTAATTATTATTTATGTTTGTGACGTGAAAATTACGTGATAATTTTTTTAATTATTTTTTATATTTGTGACGTGAATATAATCGGACTAAATATTTATATCTTTTAATAATTATATATTAAAAATTTTAATTAAAAATTATTTAAATTTTTATATTTAATTATTTATTAATTTGTTGTATTGATTAATATTTAAATTTTTTTATTATAAAATACAAAAACATTTCAATATAGTGGTATGCTACAAGACTTTACAAAAATTTTGTTTTTAAAAATATTACTTGTTTTCGATTTCAAAATCAATATCATTTTAAAACACATTCATGATCATTAATTATTATTAATTATAATAAACTTCAATTCTAATTTTAATTTCACGTGCAGTGAAAAAACTCTTGAAACAGCAATTACTATCTCAACCTTCTGATCTGGAGTCAGACGCGCTACCATTGCGCCACAGATCAAATTGTGTTTACTTAGACACCTAAACGTATATATCCCATAATAATAATCATGATTCTTAATTATCCACATCTATACCAACTATAACAAAATACTGTAACTGTTTTTATTAATCAACTATAACAAAATAACTGCATTCTATTGTTTTTACAAGAGTAATCCATTATTATTATTATTAACATAACATAACCGTGCATAATATTTTTACACAAGCTCCAAGCCATATACATATGCAAATCACTCTATTTTCTTCTCATTTAGTATTCTGCTTTTGATCTTTCTAATGGCCTTTTCATCTATAACCTCATAAGATCTCTTATATTTCTCCCTCAACCACTCCATGCATCTCTTTATCTTGTCCTCGTTTTTCATATAAATTACAGGAACTGTCATACCACACAATATACCTATACAACAAAATAAAATAAAATTTAATATACAATCAGTTCTGAGGAAAAAAAAACGCAAATAATTAACAAAATGAATAAAATCATAGGCAACTATACCTATATAAATGAATGTGAGGAAGTCCATGCAGGTTCCAACATAAGAGAGTGCCAAAAACCTAGCGATAACTCCCACAAGCACAGACCAATCTTCCTGTATGGTCACCCTGAACAACCACCTTATTGGTTCTTCAATCCTTGCTCTAACTATGTTTGCCATTCTTATAGCTGTTTCTTCTTTCAACTCCAACCTCAACAATTTTGGTGGTTCCCTAAATTTCACACAATGAAATAATATATAGATAATAATATAGAATATCGATACACATCATTAAGGTGAAGGTGCTTACTTGCCCAAAAGTGTAAGCATTTTGGCGTAGAGGAATATTGATGTAACAACTAAGATGGTGAGCCATGAGATGAGAGTGAGGAAGTTATATTGATATACTTCCATCAAAACCCATGTTGCTGTTGCCGCAATCAGAACAAAAGTACTGAGTTTCTTCCTCTTCCATAGTACTATATCCCTCATTATGTCATTGCCAGCACCATCTGAGAAACAATAAAGTTAAATGATGTATTGGTGCATAGTATATATAACAGAAAGTTTGATAAAATAATAGTTATACCTGAGGAATGTGAGGGAGTTATGAAAGGTTTTGTTTCTGCTGCTGTTGTTGTTTCGGTAGACATTGGAAATATTGCGATAATTAAGTGAAGATGATGTTGTTGAAATGGAAGGAGGAGAGGAGCTGTGTGATTTCGTTTTGGTTTTAAAATGTGTTGCCGCAAAATAATGGCCTTACGGTGTGCTTTGTGTCTGATTTACACGTGTATAACTTTAAGGAGACGTGGAAGTTTTGGAGCCTCCGTGGCATTTCCAATCTCTTTCGCATAACTTTATGTCAGTGTCATTATTGTTTATGGATCAGTTAATAATATGTATCAGTCAATGTATCACAACCTTTAGAATTTTATATTTAACGATATAGAGAAGGGTGTGAGAATTTTAGTAGTAATCTTAGAAACACATGGCTAAATTGTGTTTCTGGATTGGAAAATTTTGAAATAATTTCGAGGGCCGAGAACCACTTTTAAACAACTTGAATTTAAGTGACTCGTAAATCATAATATATAAAGATTTTGAGAGATTAGAAGAAAATAGAATTTGTTTTTGAAAATTTTGGTGACTATTTTTTAGAGCTCATGTGTAATTTTTTGTAATAAGTCTTGAAAGTATAGTGAATATCTCTCTCTCTCAAATAGTAGATAGTTTGATCGAATTAGATAAATAAATGATTGAGTTTATTGTTTTTACTTTATCTTCTTATGTCAAGTTAAATTGGTGTTTTATTGCATAAAGAGTTAATTACTACTGAAGGTGATTTATTTTGGTTGTCGTTGTTCTTTTCCTCACACATCAAATATTTTGGTGTAGTTAAACTCTGAATAATTTTTCCGAAGTGCTTTTAATTATTATACCAGTTTTACACAAAAAGTGACATCCATAGTGGGACAAAGGGGTCTCGTTTACAAATTAGCACCATAGGTTCTAAATGGAAGATCAAAAGGTTTTTCGGAGCAACAATTTTAGGTTGTTGAAGTGAATATGCAAGCAATATTAACTCACGAGAAATGTATTGAAGCATTGATGGGTGAGGCATCAATGCTTGCATGCCTAACAGAAGAAGAGAATAATAAGATTGAGAAAACTATAAGGATAAGGCTAGAATTACCAATATGTTATGCCTTGGGAATAAAACAATATGTTGTGCCTCTGTGTTTTTGGGGTGTTTTGCGTGTATTCTGAATTATCCTTCCACATTCTAAGAATGAGGTATATTAAGAAGCATATGGGTAATGGATTTGGGGAGCTCCTGAAAAATGGTAACTGCTCTACCTTGATTAGAAAGCTATTTTCTACCTACTTCTTAGGAAATTGTGACGATAACTACTTACACGTGTGGTTAAAATTTACATACACATCACCCCCATGTTTCTAGTTAGGGCGGGTTACCCGCAGAGTGAGGATTATTTCTTGGCGACATATTCAGGGGCGGTTACCTCACGAGGCTTACCCCAATACCGCCTTGTTATAGACTCTTAGAAACATATCACTACATTATTCCTCAATCACGAGGACTTGTAAAGTGAGAAGTGCTTTAAGATTATCATTTCTTTCTATTGAACCCCACAGTTAGGGGAAAGTCCCTTAGTTAAGGGTGATCCCGTCAATCAGATCCAAGTCCATCATTCAGGTCTGAGTCCCTTAATCGGAAGCTAGTCCCTCAGTTAGGGGCAAATGCCTCAGATATGGGCGAATCCCTCAGTTAAGGGAGAGTATCTAAGTCAGGGGCAAGTCTCTCAATATAGGGATAGTCCCCCAGTTAAGGGTAAGTCATCAGGCTTGTGCCAGGTGTTTCCCATGTAAATTGTGTGTCAGCTGAGGGATATCAAACATCAGTAATTTATTTTTGGAGACATCAAAACGTCAGTTAGTTACGGAGTTAAGCTGTTTAGCGGGATATAAATGTGTGTCTCATTAGATGCTGCTTATGATGCTTTTACTAGGGAAACCCATTCTAGTTTCTTTCCTTACACGTGTCTATGATGTGTGAAATCTCTTCCAGTTCTTGCAACAATTGGACTTTGCAGCTATGTTTCTTACGCTATTGGTTTTTGTCTATAAAAGGAATTCAATTGCTTTTTAGAAAATCTTTTTCTCTCCTTTCCATTTTAGAACTTCCTCTTTATTTAATTAGAGAAAACTCATAAGTGCGGTGGTGTTTCTTTAATTTCGGATAGGAGGTGATCACGAGGTTCATTAGTCTCTCTGGGATTTAAGTACTTCAACTTTTTAATCTCTTTCTTCTCATCAGATAATGATGGACATGAAGAAAGCTAAATGTGTCCATGTTCGAGACATTATTGTGGAACCTTATTCTGCATGTTATTAATCAAGGAAGTTCCATTAAAGACAAATATGATTTTTATGATGATAACTAAAGTCAAGTGTAAAGCGGTTAAAGACGCAACCAGATCAATAAAAGTTGATAAGTTGGATTATTTAAGGATGACACCTAAAAAGAATATAACTTAAGCTTCATCTTGAAGTAAATCTCTTCAACCAAGTGTCTACAATAGTGAAGTATCTGACAAGATTTGAAGTATGTGAAAGTTTTCCTAACTGTGTCTGAGTGAATATATATTATAAATGCATTAGGGCTTTCTCGTAAAGTATGTGGCTAATCACACATACACACACACACACACACATACGCACACGCACTTACAAAACTTTAAATTGACTTTTCTTGATAAAACACTTTCAAAAATACCTTGAACTTGTTCCAGATGAGTTAGGAGCTTCTAGAATAGCTCTGGGAAAATTTTTGTTTGTACCAATCGCCTGACACCTTACTCCAATCAAATGGGATAGTTCAAAAATGTGCTATAAGTGATTAGGACAACATCTTAATGATAGGTAAATGCTATATATCTATTATTACCATTTTTGACTTACTAATAAATTAATTTGGAGTCAACCAATCGATTGGAGAATGTTGTAATCAATTGGCAAGTCATAAATGACCGTCAAAACTTTTCCTTTTTTGTGACAACCTCTAGCCAATAAATAAATGCCATTTCCCACATATTTTCACATCCAGAAACGTGACCTTTCATTCCTCACTCATCACTCTCTTTCTAAAATATTTATTTTTACTTTCTCTCACTAAAGTTTAGTCATAACACTTTTGAGAAAGTCGTTTTTCAAACGAGGCAGTTGTATTTATGGAATGGTGGATTTGTAAGTTCACCAAGGAAAGTTTTTGTTTTTATCTTGGTTGAACAATTTATCCATTTAGGGATTGGTTTGTTTTGGGTTCAAAGATAAATCGTAAAAAGCTTGGTTTTTGGGGGATTTGGTTGTTAAGTCATACGGTTTGGTTCAAAGGCTCAGCGCGTGTAAAAGTATTCGTCAGGTTCAAGCTTAGCCTGATGTTAAAAGCTTGTTAAGGTTGGAGATAAGTGCGGTGTTAAAAGCTTATTAGGTTCTTAGTTAAGCCGGTATAAAATTAAGGTTTGGTTAGTGAGCAAAACCTAGTATTAAAAACTCCCTCTGTTTCAAGATTAGCGCGTGTATAATCTTGGTTTGAAACTTGAAAAATTATTTCTCCAAGTTTCTTATGGAAATATGATTAACCACTTTGATCCATCATTTGGAAAGAAGACTTACCACTTTTCTCTGTGTTCATTGTAAGTTCTGTGTTTTTTGATTGGCTACATTTTGGTAAAACAACATGCTGTTAGCAAGATATTAAATCTGATGTTCTTCCATGACAGCCAGACATCATGTTCAACATGATGTAGAACATATGTTCTAGGACATGTTATACCAGAAAGTTAGGGCATAACTATTTTGGTATTTTTAGTATGATTTTTAAGTGTGTTCTAATTCAAACATGTGCTTTATTCATGGGAGTATATTGTGGGAATTTCTGTTATGACAGATTCTGTTAGTTTTCGTAAAAAGGATACTTGAGCCTTTTTAGGAAAGTTTGTATTTTATTCATATTATTGTGCAGGAAGCTTTGCAGTGAGTTAAAGCTGATTGCGGCTTTTTTTGCGCCTCAAGAAGTCCAAGTCCATTAGGTCTGAAGGCTATTTAAAGAGAAGACCTAACCCTATTGGAAAGAGAACAACACGTGAAGAATTTGGGGAATAAGGATTAGTCGTGTTTTGGTTGGTCTTTAGGGTTTAATGCTTGTTAATTGTATGTCACTCATGTATCTTTTGATGCATTGAGGTTGACTGATTTTTCATTGTTAATTGTCCACTCTAAAGCTATTTAAGCAAGAGTGTATTATTCTTGGTTTAAGCTTTAAAGCAAAACCAAATATTATCTTGGAAGTGTGCTACTTCTATTTTATGTAATTGTTGAATTGTCACTAGGATTGTGACTGATTAGGAAGTGAAAGGAGGATCTCATATCTAAAAGGTGTCTAGGTAGAAGTTGCACAAGGTAGGGATTAGGCGAGAAGTTGTAAATGAGGGAATTTAGATTTGAACTAAAACAATCATAGTGAATTTCCTTCCTGGCTTGGTAGCCCTCAGATGTAGGTGAGTTGCATCGAACTGGGTTAACAATTGCTGGTGTTAATTTTACTTTTCTCTCATTTAAATCTCTGCACTTGTATTTGTGTGATCAAGCTGTTTTAATCCCAGTGTTATGACATCTTTCTCGACATCTGGTATCAGCGTGCCAGAATGTCATTCTTCATTTGGTTGGAAGTTAACTAGAGACTTCAATTTCTTTGTATAAAGGGGTTCGAGAGTTCAACCTACTAAAAACTCTTAAGTTTGTTGGATACTTTCAATAATAAATCTTGGGGAGAGGATTAGATATTTTTCTTTTGACGAAACCTCTATAGCTTATAGTGTTCTTCTCTCTTCCCTTAAACTTTATTTTCCATATATTATTTTCCGGTATTTTATTTCGAAAAGCTTCTCTAAAATGTTTTCAAACTCTTAAATTAATCCAGAATGTTTTTCAAACTCTAGAGTTTCTGAAACACACAATTCATTCCCCCTCTTTTGTGTGAAGCCACATATCCAACAATTATATCCCTATATTTAGACTCTAACAGGATCGTGAGGTTCTGTTAGCATATTGGATTCTCAAGTACAGGGAA